CAGTGATATCTTCTTCTTTTTCTTTCTTTCTTTCTTTCTTTTATCTTGCTGATCAACTCGTTCGCTCTCTCGGTCTTTCTTTTCCTTTCTTTTATCTTTTCTTTTCTTTTCTGTTCACTTCATTTGCTCTCTTACTTCTTTATTCTGATGTCGGTTTCTTTCTTCCTCTTTGTTTTTCCTTTTCTTTTTTCTTTTCTTTTCTCTCTCTCTTTGTCTGTCTGTGTCTTATATTCTCTCTCACCATATACCTATCTATGTATCTATCTATATGCTTTGTGTTATACTCTCTCTCTCTCTCTCTCTCTCTCTCTCTCTCTCTCTATCTATCTATCTATCTATCTATCTATCTATCTATCTATCTTTCTTTCTTTCTCTCTCTCTCTCTCTCTCTCTCTCTCTCTCTCTCTCTCTCTCTCTCTTCCTTTCCTTCTCCCTCTCTTCCGTTCTTACTCCTTTGCTCTTTTTTCTGGATAAAGCCTGAATGCATTAGAAACCTTTTCTTTAAATCTGTAAGAAAAATATATCATTTCTATTCGATTCATTGTGTGAGTCTATGCACCATATACAGCATATGTGTTCATGCATGTACGTGAACAAATGAACAACCACACATGAACTTATATGACCTCTCCTGCGGTAATACGAGCCTCGAATAATGATCTCTTTTTGTGTATATTGGTGAAACCGTAAATATATATGTATATTCAACGCGTATTTCCTTTGGACCATTTCCCATTTATGTTTGCTTTCAGCGTAAGGCCGCGGCAGCACAAGGATCTGTATTTTTATTTTGAGATTCCTTTAGCCTCAATCTAGCCGTGAAGGAAGTGTATACGTGCGCATATATATATATCTATATATATATATATATATATATATATATATATATATATATATATATATATATATATATATATATATATATATATCTGTGCGTGCGGAAGGGATATGGGGGGGGGGGTGTTTAGGGGAGTTGTGTGCTTGTGTTTGTTTGTACGATTGTGTGTGTGTGTTTGTGTAGATAGATAGATAAATAGATAGATATAGATGAATACATAGACAAATAGACAGAAAGACAGGTAGGTAGATAGAGAGAAAGAAAGAGAGAGAGAGAGATAGAGAAAGAATTAATAACAAGAACAACCAGAAGAGAGAAGCACGTAGAGGGAAAATATGCTTATTGAATGGGGCTCATACTGCTCGAAAACAAAAAACAAGCAAATTCTTGTTCAAAACAAGTTGAAAAGATGAAAGGAAAAATGAATAAAAGAAACGGGGGAAGAGAATAAACAGATGACAAAGGGATTGGTGGAGATGACAATAAAAAAAGGGTTAAAATGACAAGGATGCCGAGAATGATAATGAGACTGCCATTGCAATCATTACTATCAAGATTATCGGTGACATTTTGATAAGAATATAATGAGAGGAAATGGAAGAAAATATCCCTGGTCACATACAAGGGAGCAACACAAACACCATGGCACACGTACACACAAACACAAACACACACACAATGACACACAAATACAATCACACATACATACAAACACACACACAATGGCACACAAACACAAGCACACACACACACACACACACACACACACACACACACACACACACACACACACACACACATATATATATATAATATATATATATATATATATATATATATATATATATATATATATATATATATATATATATATACATATACATATATATATATATATATACATAAATATATATATATATATATATATATATATATATATATATATATATATATATATATATATATATATGTATATATATATATATATATATATATATATATATATATATATATATATATATATATATATATATATACATAAATATATATATATATATATATATATATATATATATATATATATATATATATATATATATATATATGTATATATATATATATATATATATATATATATATATATATATATATATATATATATATATATATATATATATATGCGTATGTATGTATATACATATATATATATATCTATATATCTATATATATATATATATATATACATATATATATATATATATATATATATATATATATATATATATATATATATATATATATATATATATGTATATATATATATATATATATATATATATATATATATATATATATATATATATATACATATATATATATATATATATATATATATATATATATATATATATATATATATATATATATATATATATACATAAATATATATATATATATATATATATATATATATATATATATATATATATATATATATATATATATATATATGCATATATATATACATATATATATATATATATATATATATATATATATATATATATATATATATATATATATACATACATATATATATATATATATATATAATATATATGTGAATATATATATATATATATATATATATATATATATATATATATATATATATATATATATATATATATGTATATATATATGTATATATATAATATATATATATATATATATATATATATATATATATATATATATATATATTCACATATATATATTATATATATATATATATATATATATATATATATATATATATATATATATATATATATATATATGTATATATATATATATATATATATATATATATATATATATATATATATATATATATATATATATATGTATATATATATATATATATATATATATATATATATATATATATATATATATATATATATATATATATGTATGTATATATATATATATATATATATATATATATATATATATATATATATATATATATATATATATGTACATACTCTCTTTATCTCTCTCTCTCTCTCTCTCTCTCTCTCTCTCTCTCTCTCTCTCTCTCTCTCTCTCTCTCTCTCTCTCTGTCTATCTATCTTACTTATTCCTTTCCAATACTCGGTTCGATCTATCCGCTTATCGTATGGGATACTAATGAGTTTGGGGAGTGGAAATTTGGGGACGTCAAGAGAGAGCGAGATTAGAGAGAGAAAAAATAGAGAATGAGGAGGGGGGGGGGAGATAGATAGATAGTTTGGGGACGTAAAGAGAGAGAGAGAGAGAGAGAGAGAGAGAGAGAGAGAGAGAGAGAGAGAGACAGACAGACAGACAGACAGACAGACAGACAGACAGACAGACAGACAGACAGACAGACAGACAGACAGACAGACAGAGAGAAAGGGGAGAGAGAGAGAGAGAGAGAGAGAGAGAGAGAGAGAGAGAGAGAGAGAGAGAGAGAGAGAGAGAGAGAGAGAGAGAGGGGGGGGGGGGGGGGAGAAAGAGAGAGAGAGAGAGGGAGAGAGAGAGAGAGAGAGAGAGAGAGAGAGAGAGAGAGAGAGAGAGAGAGAGAGAGAGGGAGAGAGAGAGAGAGAGAGAGAGAGAGAGAGAGGGAGAGAGAGTGAAAGAGAGAGAGGGGGAGGGAGAGAGAGAGAGAAAAAAAAAATACAAGCAAACATGAAGCAAGGAAAAAAAAAAAGGAAAATTATAATAAAAGAAAAAATAACTAAACAAACTCAACCAAACGAGACGGGGAAAGGTGACACCGCCGAGGAATAAAATATAAATGGAAGATGCTGCACGTGGAGGCTTGGCCAGATGATGGGTCGGAGATGGGTTTTTAGAGGGGAAATGAGGGGGGTGAGGGGAGGGAGGGGGATAGAAGAGAGGGTGAGGGGAAGGGGAGGGAGGGGGATAGAAGAGGGGGTGAGGGGAGGGGAGGGGGATAGAAGAGGGGGTGAGGGGAAGGGGAGGGATAGGAGAGGGGAAGGGGAGAGAGGGTGATAGAAGAGGGGGTGAGGGGAAGGGGAGGGAGGGGGATAGAAGAGGCGGGTAAAGGGAGAGGGGAAGGAGAGAGAGGGTGATAGAAGAGGGGGTGAGGGGAGAGGGAAGGGGAGGGAGGGGGATAGAAGAGAGTGGATGAGGGGAGGGGGAAGGGGAGAGAGAGAAAAAGTGAGGGGAAAGGGAAAGGGGAGAATAAGAGGAGAGGGGGAGTGGGAGGAGAGAGAGAATGACAGGAGAAGGGGAATGAGAGGAGAGAGCGTTAGGGATGAGGGGGAGAGGGAAAGTGAGAGGAGAAGGAGAATGGGAAGAGAAGAGAAAAGATAACGAAGGCGATAATGAGAATAAATATAAAAATAATGAGAGGTGAGAAAGAGATGAGAAGAGGGAACTGGAAGAGGAAAGCGATAGGAGGATAGAGTAGAGAAGGAAAATGAGAAGGGCAAATGAGAGGAAAGAAAAGAGAAGGAAGAAAAGGAAAAGAAATAAATAAACGGAGAGACAAAGGAAGACATGAATAGAAAGAAAGGAAGAAAAGGGGGAAATGAGAAAAGAGAAGGAAGAAAGAAGAAGAAAAAAAATTAGGGGAAGAGGTGACAACGAGATAAGGAGGAAAGGAAAATGGAGAGGTGAAAAGTAGGAGAGAAGAGAGAAAGGAAGATAAGCGGACGAGATAAGAAGGAGAAAGAGAGGAAGTGAGGCAATGAACGGAATATCAGAGAGGAAATTAAGGGGGGAGGGGGAGGAGAGAGAGACGAGAAGGAAGAGGGGAGGAGAGGAGGAGGAGAAGAGGAAGTTGAAGGAAAAGAGAATGAGAAAGAGGAGGGAGGAAAGAGAGAGAGAGAGAGAGAGAGAGAGAGAGAGAGAGAGAGAGAGAGAGAGAGAGAGAGGAAATGGCAGGAGTGTGAGAGGAGAGGCGCAAAAAGGGAAAATGTGAAAGAAAGCGTATGGATGGAGAGAGGAGATGAGAGAGAGAGAAAAAAAATGAAAA